TATATTATGTATTATACTATTACATGAGATAAATATGTTGTAATTAGTGTAATTAATAAATATATGGGCTTTTTTCTCCCTAATCTTGCATTTAAATAATAATGGTATGACAGTTTATGTATAATAATTGTATTTTCTTTGAAATTTTATTGATATCCTCTTACAGGTATTTTATTTCGAACTTTTATAAGTCGTTAGAATGTATTATATCTTAGATATTTTGTTTATATTCATGTATTGTTATTTGAAATACCTATCTGTTGATGTTTATTATAAGTGCTATTAATTTACAACAATAAATGTATTATTAAACAAATTTTGTTTTATGTAAATTGAAATATGTAATAAAATTGCTAAATAAACTTCGTTTTAGTGTAAATGGCGTTTTACTTATTAAAAATAACATTTTTTGAGAAATTGGATTTATAGTTATAATACTGCAAATAAAAATAAATTTTGATACTACTACTGCAATTAAACATTTCAAGGCCGAACTACGTCGAATAAAAGAAAACAAAACTGCTATATAAAGTTGATCCCGCGCTAAAAATTGCAACTTTGAAAAAGATCTTTACCAACTTATGCTATCCTAATACAAATTTTCACATTTAATAAAATTTTCAGTTTTGCGTCATATACGAGGGCCGGTCAAAAAGTTATAGATGAATCAAATTTCAAAAAACAACTTGAATTTTCCATTACTTTTCGACTAACCCTCGTATTTGGCTCAAAATTGAAAATTTTCATAAGTTTCAACATTTGTATTAGGAGAGCATAAGTTGCATTGGATGAAATTTCAAAAAACAACTTTAATTTCCGATTACTTTTCGACTAACACTCGTATTTGGCTCAAAACTGAAAATTTACATAAATTTCAACATTTGTATTAGGAGAGCATAAGTTGCATCGGGTCTTTTTCAAAAAACAACTTGAATTTTCCATTACTTTTCGACTAACCCTCGTATTTGGCTCAAAACTGAAAATTTTCATAAATTTCAACATTTGTATTAGGAGAGCATAAGTTGCATCGGGTCTTTTTCAAAAAACAACTTGAATTTTCCATTACTTTTCGACTAACCCTCGTATT